AACTTGTATTTTCAACTTACGATGGATCTATTAGGACATAACCCCATCACAAATGGAGGAAGATTATATGTGTTTGTACCTGGCAACACTACACATCCGCAGAAATTCCTCAGCAAAGCTGGGCACAGGTGCCACAAACAATTAGGGAAAACCTCGGTAAGTGGAGGATGGTGTGGTGGGCCCCAGCCTAGAAAAATCCCAAACTGAAAATTGTCTCTGTAAATTCCAACTCATAACAGCAGTGGTAGCAGCATTCAGCAGTTTCTGTACATTAGCAAGACAAGATGCACTTTTCCTATGACTCATTTTGTAGCTAAACTCAAGACTTTCAGCCTTGATTTTTATTACAGTGCAATTATGGGGTAGAAATTCAGCCTTAAAAAAAAAAAGAAAAAAAAAAAAGAAATTCAGCCTTTCACAGCTATACTTGTGGCCATAAAACCCAGACCTTCCACATCTGCACTCCTGGAAATGGGGAGCACAGGGTGACACAAAAGCAGATGAAATTATTTGTATACTTGTACTCAAAGCTTTTATTCCCAAATCCTTACTGTGACATCTGTACTTTCAGGGCACAGGAAGGTGGAGTCAGTCTGGTTACAAGTGGGTCTCTGGACCACATCTATGATCAGTAAGTCACCACTAATGCAGCTACAAGCACACTCCAATCCATCAAATACCCTCATACATAAATTACAATTCAGAGGTTCCATGTAGAGCAGCCATTTGTGGCATTAAAAACCTGGGATATTGCCCCCCATTTAAATACATCATCCAAAACCAGAGTATTTCCATCCTCTTGATCAGAACTAGTTATAACTGCCCTTGTTCTCTGGGTAAGGCTGAGATGTATGGAATACCAAGACAGTTGGTCACCACTCAATTCAAGTGAAAAAAAGTCCAGCTGACTTTCTGATCTTTTATGCAGATATGCCACAAACAGCCTTATCAGCAGTTCAGTGAACTGCTTAGAATTATCTTTTTAGTTTTATGGGTTTCTTCTACACCCTTAATGTCTGGCTGATGTGTTTTTTCTGACCTGTGGAGGTTTAATAGTGAATGATAATCATTATGGTTCGGTAAACTCTAAAACGTATTTATATCTAGCTGATCTTAACTTTTTTTTTCATTAAGGTATCATTTATATACAGTAAAATCCACCCTGTTATGTGCACAGGTCTACAGATTTTGACAGACACATATAGCTGTGTCATCTAGGGAGTATTTTTTTTTCTTATTCTGATTTCATAATTCTCTACACCACATGTGTATTTTAATTTCCTGGCTGTATCAGTGAAAACTGCTACCTGCTGCAGAAATTCAAAATAAGGGCTTCTTAAACCCAACATTTAAACCAGCAAGAATATTCAAGGGTGCCTCGCACAGCTGTGCAAAGTGCACAGCCCAACGGCAGGAGAAGCCGGCATGTGGGGAGTGGCGCCCCCTAGTGTTTCCTGTGCATAATCTGCATGGCCGTCCGTGGCCGCTCTGAATATAGCCACCAGTTTGAGGGATCTTCAAAACTGTGGTGGTGTTAACAGTGAAACAGGAGATGTTTAAAATAAAAAAAGGAGGCTTCCATTTATATGCCTTTCCTCCCACACTTTAAAAGACTGTGATGGAAAGAGAAGACAGGAACCACTGAGCTTTATAGCACCAGACTTTGCACATATGTGAAAGAAGGGCAATGTTGCAAAATGAGAACTGGTCTGGTAAAAACAACAACAACAACAAAAAACCAACAACAAGAAAACAACTTGGAGACTGCTGAATCTCTGGTCTGCATCTTTTCTTAAATATGTATTTATTTTAGAGCACTCACATGCCTGGGGGTGGGGAAAGGGGCAAAAAGAGGGAGAGAGAATCTCAAGACTCCCCCCTATGCGGGGACCCAACATGGAGCTTGATCTCAGGGCGCTGAGGTCATGACCTGAGCCAAAATCAAGAGCCAGATGGACACTCAACTGACTGAGCCACCCAGGTGCCCCTCTGGTCTGCATTTTATTTATTTTTCTTTTTTAGTTTTTTTATTTACTTATTCATAGAGACACAGAGAGAGAGGCAGAGACACAGGCAGAGGGAGAAGCAGGCTCCATGCAGGGAGCCTGATGTGGGACTCGATCCAGGGTCTCCAGGATCACGCCCTGGGCTGAAGGTGGCACTAAACCGCTGCACCACTGGGGTTGCCCTCTGGTCTGCATTTTAAAACCTTTTCTCTTGCCTTTGCAAATGTTACAACCTCCTTCTAAAGAACCACCATAGGTTCTTTAGATGTTCCTCCCTACAAGGCACTTAGAACAAATGCCAGTTACCAAAAAAAAAAAAATTTAATTAGATATTTCCCTACATATGGTTTGAACTAAGTACCATATGGCTCCCACTACAGAAAAATGTGGCAAAACTGAATTCACAAGACCTCATTCTGCTAGGGCCTATTTAGTCCACACAAGTCTAACATGGACCTTCCAGAAATTTAGACCAAACAAGCAGTAACAAATACAGCTGATGAGGGCCTCCTTCTCATGCTTCCTTCCCACAAAGCCTCTTTCCCAGTCCACAGGAGAGCAAAGACCAATTCAGTTGTGCAGATCACCTTTCTCAGAGTACTACTATTCCTTCAGATTTTGACATTAAAGGACACCATAGTCTTCTAATAGTTTAAGGGAAGATATTTTATTTCTATTATCTTGATACAATATCACCAAGTTGTTTCAATGAAAAAAGTTTTAACACTGTAAACAATGGATGATAATTTATGTGAGAGAAGGTGGGATCATTCTCTAAATTGGCTACTCAGCTATAAAATGAATTTAAGAGAAGCATTTAGTGATTAGCTACAAAGTTCTAGAGTAATAATAATATTGCAAGCAGAAATGATGGGCGGGGAAAGGCACACCACATTCACTTAGAACTGAAAGGCAAGAAGAGTTGCAGGCAAAAGAACTCTATTTAAATCTCAGCTTACTCAGAAAATGGAACTAGTTGGAAGGAAGTGAGGGTAGAAAAGTATAAAGAACATCAACAACCAGCTTAGAGGCACCTGGCTGCTCAGACGGAAGAGCACGCGACTCTGGATCTCCGTGTCACAAGTTTGAGCCCTGCCTTGGGTGCGGAGATTACTTAAAACAAACAACCCATCAGCTTAGAAAGTCAGTTTTTGAACTACAGTTGAAAAAGAAATTCCAGAAAATAATATAGAGGCCAACCTCATGGGATGTGAATGTGAAGGAAAAAAAATGGGAGGCAAGAAACAAGGGTATATTTACTCAAATGTCCCTGGATTTCTCTCTTGACCAGGCAGGACACCAAAAACTCAGTTTGATGTCTGATTAAAAGATCAAATGTGATGGGGAATAAAATTCCAGAGACTTACTGTTAGAGATTTGCAAGAATCCTCAGAAATGCTTGATGTAATGACCACAATAAATGCTATGTTTTAAAAATAGTATTTACATATAATTGGAAGCTTCTTGATCAAAGAAGGATGTCAACTCAGGTCATGGTCTTGGGGTCCTGGGATCCAGCCCCATGTTGGGGCTCCCTGCTCAGTGGGGAGTTTGCTTCTCCTTCTCCCTCTGCCGCTCTTCCCTGCTGTGCGAGCTCTCTCTCTCTCTCTCTCTCTCTCCCTCTCTCAAATAAAACCTTTTTTCAAAAAACAGAGGGATGTCAAAACAGAAGTACCCAACACATTATGGAATCCTAGGAAAAATCTTGTTAGTTATGACTAATAAAACAAGATCCAGGAGCAGCTAAGTACTAAATAAATAGTGAATTAAATGAATAGTGATGCCAAATTTGAACATAATGTAAAATAGATTTTTAAAAGATACATTGGTGCCACCTTTTGGCCAGATTAAAAATTTACACAAATTACAATCTACAATCACATTTGAATTTCAAAGAGACCCTGTTAGAGGCACAGTTGTTTGATTCAAACATTAAGTGAATAGATTTAAAACTGCCTTGCTGCTTATTAATACAGCTGATTTTTAATTCTATTTTTTATTTTTTAAGAATTGGGATAGAAGATAATACGAATAGAGTTTTAATGCTGAACAAATATATCTCATACTCCGTAAGTACTCCTTTAGTTCCTGACAGCCATCACAAAACTTATTTTAAGCTTTTCGGCCAGGATTAGTCAACTTTAGCACTACTGATATTTTGGGCTGGATAATTCCTTGGGGTGGGGGTGGGGGCTGTCTCCTGCACTGTGAGTTGTTTAGCAGCATCCCTGACCTCTACCCACTGGATGCCAGTAGCAACATTCCCCCCACCCCACCCAGTTGTGACAACAGAAAACATCTCTACATTGCAAAATGTCCCTGTGGTAAGGGGAATCACCCTGTGTATGGTTAACTTTAAGTTTCAACTGGCCACAGGTGCTGATATTTGGACAAACATTATTCTGGGTGTGTCTGTGAAGGTGTTTTTGGATGAGATAAACATTTGAATCAGTAGACTGAATAAAGCAGATTGCCTCCCCTTGTGGGTCTTGAGGCTGCTGGCTTTTGGACTGGAATTAACACCATCAGCTGGCCCAGGTCTCCACCTTGCCAACTAGAGATCTTGGGACATCTCAGCCTCATATCTGTGTGAGCCAATGCCCTATAACCAATCACCCTCTCTCTCTCTCCCTCCCTCTCTGCACACACACACTGTTCATTCTGTTTCTCTGGAGAACACAGACTAATACATGATGGTGGAGAACCACTGCTGTTGATTACATTACCAGAAAAATACAGTAAATAGGGAAGAAAAAAAAAGGCAAAGGGAACTACTGGACAATGGCTAGATATTAACCTTTCTTTCCAGAGATGGCAGTTGGAAAGCACTGGATTAGGATGCCAATTTTCTATTCACACAGATTCTGGTTGATAAGGACTGGGCTCTATGATGCATTATTTTGCATTACACATTCAAGATGTTACCTGGTACAGAGACTGACTTACCCCAGTGCAAGGAGGACAATATTTGGCAGACACTTCTGTAAAATAAGAACACTATGTATAAGCTAGACTAAAAAAAGGTTTTGTTTATGGTCATGTCACAATTTATTTGTCATGATAAAATACATAAAATCCACTGTTTTCATTCCAAATAGAGGGTACAAAACTTTCTAAAATAATGTTTCTGAAGCAAACTCAAAGCACACAAGGTGGAAGAGTTCAACCATACAATGCACCATTCACCACAATCTCCTATATTTGCCATGTGTTACTTGTACTTGGAAGATTTCTTCACTGGACCTTTTTTTTTAAATTGCACATGTTTTTGAAATCCACATTTCTTTGAAATGATTTTAAGTTGATATTTTATCTAGTCTGACTAAATGACTTTATTTGGCACAAAATAGCAGAGTTAATGGCAGTTAATGTCAAATGCGTTGGAGCACTACCTACTAAGCACAGATGCATCCTGAAGCACAATGGATCCTTCCAGGTCTTGAAGACAAAAATCTCAGTCTGTGATTCCTTGTACTTAAGACATCCACACTTGGGACTGTATAATCTTACCAGTTTTCAAAAAGTCCAACCATACAAACATGGAAGTCCAGCAGAGAACAATCATTTGTTGATTTCACTCTTAGGAATTTAAAAATTAATTATAATAAAATACAACAGGGCTACATTTAGTTTAAAATATACAAAGACACAGATCTCATTATGAAATCTTTTCATGTGACTTATTTTACCTCAATTACTACTAAAAAATGACACTTATAAAAAAATGACACTTATCAAGGATCTTGATTACAACAGTAAGATTTTGCCTGTGCAGATAACATGGAAATACCATTTTCCAGCCTCTTTTTCCATGATTAATATGTATTTCCTTCAGTTTAAAGTGAGGCTTTTCCATTATGAATTACTTCCAATAATGAATTACAATGTTATTATCCCCACTCTATTTCTTGTCCCCATTTACTTTTTAGATGATCTAAAGAAAATGATATTTTCTCCATTGCTTTCTTTTCCTTTTTCCATGCGTAAACAATACATTTGGGGGAACTTTCCATGAAGCTGAAATGCAAAGATTTTATTCCCTATAATGCCAAAGGACTAATATCCTTCTTTAACAGGTGGTTAAACTACAGTAGAAAAGGAATTCCAGCAACATTGCTCTCTCTAGAATATTTCTTAAAAATAAAAATAAGAATTGTGTCAATTGAGTATTAAATAGTATATTCTAAGATATTCTAAGAGTTTACGGGTTAGAATCCTGGTTAGGATCCAGGTTAGGTTTAGCCATAGAATACATGTAATTTTCTTTATATGGTTGGTTTTTATTAAGAATACTAAGAGAATTTAACACATTTTTTTTTTCTATAGAGAAGGGGGTAGAGGGCAGAGGGAGAGGAATGGAGAGAAAGAATCTTAAGCGGGCTCCACGCCCAGCATGGAGCCCAACGTGGGGCTCAATCTCAGGACCCTGAGACCATGACCTAAGCCAAAATCAAAACTGGGTGAACCACTCAGGTGCCCCAAACTTAACACAATTTTAGTACAAATCCTCACAACACCCCTGTGAGGTAGGTATTGCTTACATCCACTTAATGGGAAATCAGAAAAGCAGAGCAAGAAATAATAATCTTAAAACACATAAATCAAGAGATTTTGGTTCCCTTATAAGGCAAACTACACTTACAAGTTCCAGAGTTGTGACAATACGCTAATCGGGACAAATACTGAAACAAATCTGTTTCTCTCCAGAAAACAACTCTATGTAGGATCAGTAAAGAAGGGAAAATTCTAATCTGATTCAAGAAGAAAATGTCTTTTTAGTATTTGCCTAACACACTGATTAAGGTGCATATAGCATTTCCCATTTGAAGAGCTTGGTAATCATTATGCAAACCGTTATTATATGGTTAAGATTATAGCTCCATTTTGTAGATGACATGATCCAAACTAAAGGGCTTAGCCTGAAGGACTTTTTTTATACAAGCAGATTTTCTTAGTAAGGAACCATGTCTTTAAAAATTACACTCAGGGCACAGCATTGATCATGTAACAGCTATTTTAAAAATATATGTCTGCTGAATGAATGTAAAAAATGTAACTGGGGTCAGTCCCAACATCGCTATTCACTGGCTATCTGGAACCTATTTCTTGGGACTTTTTTCCTATAAAATGGAGTTAACATTTTTCCATATCCTAAAACAGAATATTATGAAGACTAAAAAAAGAACATTGGCTTTGAATTTATAATATTAAAAGGAACTATATGAATAAGGATAAAAATATAGCTAACCATCACATTCTTAACACTCAACAAATGTAGATATATTTCACATTTTTTTTTTATATTTCACTTTTAAATTAATGTTGTCTGCTATGGCCCCTCAGCCACAGCAAACTCTTACAATTTCTCCAGACTCTACCCTGAACTGCTGCCCTACCCCTCAACTCATGTGCACCCCAATCCCACCCTTTAACTACATACTTCTTATGTCAAGGTCTAATGACTGAGCAAGAAGGAAAGAACAGAGAAGAAAGAAATCAGAAAATTTGTTATACTGATGAGAAAATTGTACTTGAAGAAGGGTAGGGATTATATCCTGAATAGCCTAAAATAATGACATCAATGTCAATATTTGTGTTCATCCTAGGAGATGAAATCTTTCAGGGTAGTATAAATTTGCACAATTGCTAGAATGACTTAAGATTCAAGGAAGTTCTGACTCCAAAGTGTAACACATTTGTTTTTAGCCACTCCCAATATAATTGATCCTCTATCAATAGCTAGATTTTTTTCTCAACACATCTCAATCTTGACCCCAAGAAGTTTTAGTTACTTGTCTGAGGCAGAAACTCAACTGTGGTTTCTTCATTCAGCTTTCAAGAAAAACTTATCATTTCATAATTCACCTAACCTGTTTACCCACAGAAAACCTTTGTGCCCTTAGACTAAGCTAGATTACTCTTTGAGCTCCCTTCTAACCTGAACCCTGACACTGTCAGATGTCCTCAGAAGGATGCAGTCATGAAGGAGCTCTGAGTTTCTGTATAATTTCTAAGCCTCACAAGCCAGATTTTTAAACATGTCTGTGAGGCTTTGAATTGAACAGGACAGCATACAAGAAAGATGAGACTGTTTTAAAGCTTTTCTCTTTTGTTATTCTTGACTAATCTTTGAAATTTAAACATTTCAGGAACAATTTAGATCTATCCTTTGTGGTGAACTTTGACCAGCTTTTTCCCCAGCTACATAAAGCAGGAGAATCTATCATTTAGTCCCTCAATTTTAATTTTTCTGATGTTTTAGCTGTGTTAAGTTTCACTGCTATAAAAGGGAGCTAAGTTTATTCACAAAGGGAAAGCTATCATGGATTTTAGACATAATTCTAGGACATTGACTGTATCTACTCTGCTGGTTTTATGGGCCAGAAAAAAAAAAAGAAAACTGTGTCATTGAAAAATTACTTTTTCAAGTGATACTTAGAAAATTAACATCAACTGAGGCAGCCTAGAAAATCCTCTGACACTAAGAGTAGAAAGATAATTTCTATTTTACCATTTTCCTCTTTAAACTGATGGTCATAAAAAAACAAACAAACAAACAAACAACTCTAATTGCTCTTATGGTTGTTAAGGAAATGCTCTACAATAAGGTAACAATACCGGGTTTAGTGTAGACCTATTTCAACTTCTGTCTCTGTGTTTATCTATCTGTATGTATATTCCTATTTCTCTCTCCTTGGGATTTTATTTTAATGTCTGAATCTTCTCCCTTTCTCTCTTTTCACTAAAATATTTTTAATTAAAAATGAGGTATGCTCAATGTCAAGAAATAAATAAAAGCCATATAAGATGCTGCAGAGCTAATAAGTAAAAAGTGATTTAAAAACTACTTATGAAAAAAAAGAAAAAGAAAAAAAATAAAAACTACTTATGATAATATGTAGCTATACCATAAAACAAAATTTGTATACATCATAACATATAGCTATGCATTAAAATAACTTCCTATATGGCAGAACATAGTTTTAAATAGTCTTCATAGTGGCATATTCATGTGAAAAATTAGCCTAAAATAATAGTGTAGGATATTCTTTAAAAACAATTTCATTTACTTCATTTTCAATTTGGTTTTTACTGATTCTACAACTTAGAAATTATATAAATAACTATTTGGTCTCAAGTTCCATAATTCCTACATTGATTTCTGATTTCTAAATTGTGATTTATGAATGTCCATAGCTCTACTTGAAGGTTACATTTTAAAAGCCATATGTATAACATATCTTACAATAATTAGACCTACTATACATACAACCTTAAAACTATGGCTAACTGGTAAAAAGTTAATAGAAGGTGAAGAGGAAAATAATCCATGAATAAAAATACATGTGATTTTTTTTTAGAATGGATATAAAAATTATGAAGGAGAAACTGCTACTCCACAAGGATAGTGTCCACATTTTCTTGCGTGAGCTCTGACTCTAAGGCACAAGATGAATCTAACTGTTCTTGTAACAAGCGAGAACCTTTCAGGGAGACATCAGACCAGCTGTCACAATACGGCTGAAATCTCTGGGCTAACGCATTGCCAAACCTTTGGCATCGGTTGTATCTGTAAGCTTTACCTTTGTGTGTATACATGTGTTCTAGCAATTGGCTTTTTCGGAGAAATTTATGACCACAGATGGAACAGCTGATTTTTCTTTTCCTTGAAAAGGAAAAATTACAGTTTAATTCTACTGGCTCTGTGTCTTTGGAGATCAAAGACACTTGACTGATCTGCAGAGGCTCTGTGGCACCCTGGTTTGAGCGGTCAGGCTGCTGCTCGTTCTCCTTGACAATGAAAGAGCTGAGCCTGTGGCGTTCAAGAGCCTCGTTATTTTCATTAAGTGGATGCACTTCACCAAGGTCATTGCTTTCCAGAATGGAAGCAGGGACACCAAATGGGAGGGATCCAGACACATGGGTATGGAGATGTTGTCTTAGGTTACTACGGGAATCAAAACGTTCCCCACAGTAATGGCATAAGTGTATTTTGATACTGCTTTCGGTGAAAGTGGGGCCTGTCACCTCTGATGAGGGTGAGGGGTGGCTCTGGGAGATCACAGATTCTGGGTCACATCTCTCCTGCTTGATGGACACTGGGGGTTTCTGGTGCTCCTCCAGGGCCTGGGCAGCAGGATGGGCCCTCTGCTGCTCTGCAGTGCCATCATCCAGCCCAATAGCAAGAGAGAGCTGCAACTGGGGGTGGTCACCCTGGACAGCAGCTCTGTTTCCACTGTTATTGGAAGGAGCTTCTTTGACCTCCAGCCCTGGTTTGACGGCTGTTTTTTGGGTCGTTGAGATCTGAATGCCATACAAATTTGAGGACTGCACAGTCTCTGGTGAGAACACTTGATTCATTTCAGTGGCAATGTGAGAAAGGTAGTCGGCGTGAAGAAATCGAATCCCTTCCTCCAAACGACTGTGATCCACAATCTGTTTTGGCCCTTTCCCCGTGTACATAATGTGCAACAAATAGCTGAATATGTCAGGCTGGATGTCAGTTGGTTGTATTTTTATGCATTCACTGTTAAAAACAAAAAACAGACCCACACAAGATGAAACGACCAGTTGGCCTTTTAGTTAGCAGTATATGGTCTTAGACTAACGCAATTTCTTCCTAAGAAGTTCAAACTGAGCAATCTGCCTTGATGAAACATATCAACAGAAAATTAAATGCTCATGGTACATCAGCTTTATGGTCCAGCTACAAGACTTCATGTATTCAACCTACTGCCTAAAGTTAGGAAACACACACTGATATTCTGATTAGCTCAACATTTAGTGACTCCTAAGTGGTATGCCCTATGCTACATGCCAGGGAGGAGAAACATGATGAATAAAACAGATACTCTGCTCTTAAGGAACTCAACAGTCTTTTGAATACATAACCAAAAGAACTGAAAACATGGACCCAATAGACACCTGTATGCCAATGTTCATTTCAGCATTATTGATGTTAGCTAAAAAGTGGAAACAACCCAAATGTCCATCAACACACGGATGGATAAATGAAGTGTGGCATATACATATGGTGGAATATTATTCAGCCATAGAAATGAATGAAGTTCTGATACATGCTGCAACATGTATGAACCTGGAAAACGTTTGGTAAGTAAAATAAGCCAGACACAAAAGGACAAATTTTATATGATGCCACTTATAAAAAAAATATCTAGAATATGCAAATTTGTAGAGAGAGAAAGTAGATTAGAGGTTACCATGAGCTTGGGGTGGGGCAGGGGAGATGGGGAGTTATTGCTTAATTGGGTACAGAGTTGATGTTTAGGGTGATGCAAAGTTTTGGAAATGATAAGTGGTGATGGTTGTGCAACATTGTGAATGGACTTAATGCCAAAGAATTGTATGATTAAAATAGTTAAAATGGCAAATATTATGTTATATATATTTTACCAAAATAAGAAATATTTAAAATTTTAAAAGGATCTATTAAAATCGGTAATATTTAGAATTTAAATACACTAATCCTATTTTGGCTTCCAAACTATCTTAATATGCCTATTCTTTAAATCACAAATGAATATAGGTGTAAGTTTGAAAAGCTTTAAAATAACCCCAAGCTCAATTTTTAAATATGAACCTAGAATTCAGATGATAGATACAAATAGCAGGGTAACAAGAAATCAGGAAACACTCTGAAAAATTAGGATAAAGAGAACCTGAGGGAAGCACTGGATGTCAACCAACAATTAGTCAATGGACTTACCTTCCCTGAAGCAAAAGTTCATGTCAATGCTTCAGAGTGCACAGGGTGTCAGATGCTGGCAATCCATTTCTTAGTCCCCATATCTCAGGATTCCCTCCTGGGTTTTACTCTTAACTCTCACCCACCCTTTTCCAGGGTCTGTGGCAGGGTTTTTTTATTTTCTATCAGCACAGAGCTGTTACCTGAGATTTTTAGTTGCTCAACAGAGATATCACATAGCAGGCCTAACACATTTGTATCTCTTGGATTTAGTTTAGCATGGTGCCTGGTACACAGCAGGGGCTCTGAGAGCTCAACTAACTCATAGCTCTTAGATGAGACTGATGTGAAGGCACTGTTTCTAATCTAATTTCTACATTGACACTACCCATGACCTGTCCCCCATTCCAACTATCTCCCCACTTTGTGCCACGCATTCCAATCATTCTGATCTACTTGGTTTCCTGAATGTACTACTGTGGTTCATATCTGCCTATGTTTTCATGTACCTTCTCCCTTTGCCTGTAGTGTGCTTTCCTGCATTCCTTTACAATATCCAAAAAACTCCTACTGATCTTTCAAGATTCAGGGCTTCTGTAAAGCCTAGATCAGCCTTCTCAAAATAGGGCTGCTGACACTCTATCTTGTACAACACTTCTATTATAGACATATCACATTAATTATTGATTAAACAGTAGATGACAGTATAAAGCTCTGTACTATGTATTTTAATACTATTAATCCATTTAATCTCAACACCATGGGGTGAGTATACATACTATGCCAGTGTTTTACAGAGAAGGAAACTGAGGCATAGACAGATCAATTACATTGTGACTGTTTTCTTTACACATATTATCTCTCTACTAAACTATGAGCCCTTGAAGACAGGGAGCATTACTAGCCTGTTACTGGGGTCTAACACAGTGCTGACATGTAAATACCCAACAAATATTTAAATGAATGAACAGGTAAATAAAAATGTGTAACTGAAGGTAGACTCCTAAGTATTTCATGCAAGGTCCTTTAAAAAAACAGAGAATTAAAAAAAACAAACAGTGACTTCTTTTGACTTTTAACCTAGGATGGATTAAAACTATTCTTTAAGAGCTCAGAATCTGAATACAATTTTCCTGTCCTCTCTCTATCTATCATGTTGGGATAACTGAAATTCAAAAAATCAACACTTTTTGAAAAAAGTATTTGAAAAAAATATCTGCTGAACTGTAATATGGAATATAAGGTGGGTAGAATTATAACATTCCACCCTTGCTATGAAAGTGTTATAGAATTGATATCAACAACTTAGAACATAGATCTTTAAAGGAAAAGACCTGCATTTGAGGATAACTTATTACCTGTATAATCCTACATGGGTCAGTTACTTCATTCAGTCTCAGTTTCCTTTTCTCTAAAATAGTATGGATTATAGTAGAATGTACATTAGGTAAATACTTAGTGCTTGGGTATGGGATAAGCCTTCAATAACTTTTAACTATTATTGTTTTCATTTTTACCTTCCACCATGGATCCTACACACTGAGATGAATTGCTGGGTGTGTTAAAATACATACATATATATATATAATTTTTTTTATTTCTTAAGGTGACCCCATAACAAAGAATCTCCCAAATGATATTATAATAAGGCTTAGCTATATTACAAGATTAGAAACTCTTCTGATTTACAAAAGTACATCCTTACCTTGTTTGGTGAATGAATATCATCTTGAAATAGTTAGAAAAAGCAGCAAGCACTGCTCTGTGGGCTTTGAAGTAAACATCTCCAATGGCAACTGTGCAATCACACAGAAAACCAAATTCTCGCTGCATGTTCAGCTGCTGCAGAAGGACAAGGCTATGGCTAGCTGTGTCCATTGTGGCTCTGAGAAAAAGGACAATTTTTTTTTTTTTTTTTTTTTACAAAATTAGCTACAGTTTACACAAACCTACAGAGTACACGGAGATCTAAATTTAAATGAAATTATTCAATAGTTTTTAATACTGTTAATTTCACCCCAAACCTAGCTAACATGATATCTCATTATAAAAATATCAATTCTGCTAAAACTGCAAAATATGGGAATTTTTTTTCATCTGGTAAGAAGGTAGCTTGCTATGAGTGACATAGAAGCAAAAGGAAGGTCTGTCTGGGTTTTTTTTTTTTTTTTTAAATATATCTCTCTACATTTCTAGTCCTGTTTGCTCACTGGAAAATGGGAATGAGATGCTGACCCCTTCCTCAGGGCTAAATGAGTTGTGAAAAGCACCTTGTGAAAAGCACCTTGTCATGGAAGCCTATTCAAATGGTAGCTGTAACTGTTCATAACATATCACAGTCCTGGCTGGGCTAGAGCTGTTATGGCTCCGTAGGGTTCCTCTGTGTGCTCAGGGTACACTGACCTCCTATCATACAATATATATGGGAAACGTATCAGTCACGGTACATTCAGGAGCCCTTAAGCCACATTCCCTGATTTACATGGGACCCCAGGAACCCAATGTAAAGAGCCTAAACCCTGATATTGACTGGATTCAGACACATACAAGCATGGAGGCCCCTGAAGGAATAATACAGAATGGGGCCACGGGTCTGAGGAAGAATCCCACATGAAGAACATGCAGAAGTCTGGCAGAGAAGTCTAGTGTGAGCTGCAAGGGCACTCAAGAATGCCATAGTTCCAGGCAGGTGGAAGGCTCTGCTTCACCACCTCCACCACCCCAACTGTGTAGACAGCCCTGGAGCTTTAGGGAGAAAGCAGCTATGGTATAAATCACTGGCCAGCTGTGAGAACCTTCTCTAAAAGAGCAGGTTCTGAAAAAGAGAATGAAGTTCCTCACTATCCAGAGACCAACGTCAATGGAGATCAGTGACGAGAGTGTGGGGTTAGCTGTCTGGAGATTGGCCGCAGCGTGGGCAGCAGACAGCTGAGTGATCAATAATATAATAAAACTAGCTAACACTTACAGTGCTTCCTGTGTGTCAGGCACTCTTGATTCATTTAATTCTCAATATGACTGTACAAGAAAGGGAATATTCAATGCATCTTACAGATGGAGAAACTGAAACAGTAGAGTTAATTTACTCAAGTCACACAGCAAGTAAGCGGCAGAGCAGGGGATTCAAACCCAGGCACTGTGCTCTAGAACCCAAATGTCCTCTCTTTCTGCCTTCCAGAGGGAACATGACCAACAAACTGGAGATGCCTATGGAACGGTCAGATTATACATCAAGACACCCAGAGAAGCCTCAAGAACATTTGGAAAGAGGAATCAATGAGAAACCCAGATTTTCTGCTGCTTAATTTGCTTACACAAATCTGATACAGAAACAAATACTTATTAATGAATAAAGTCTAGGCTAAATAAAAGGTTATTTCTATTTTTATTAAAACTACATATTTAATGTACTGATATGGAATAATCCCCAGGATATATTAAGTAAAAAAAAAAAAGCAAAGTGTAAAATTGTTCAGAAAAGACTATGCAAAAGGGGTGGAGTGGTTATTTTTAAAGGTGGGGGAGAAACATACATAAATATATGTATGTGTACACATCTCTGGAAAATTTCAAAGAAATAAGTAAAATGTTTGCTTCTGGAGGGAAACAAGGGAGCACGATGGGAGGAATTGTATGGCTTAAACTGAAATCCTTTTTTTCTTTTTGAGAGAGAACGAACGAGCGAGCTGGGGTGTGGAAATCAGAAGGAGCAGGAGAGGAAACTTTTTTTTTTTTTTAAGATTTTATTAATTATTCATGAGAGCCACAGAGGCAGAGAGAAAAGCAGAGACAGGAGAAGCAGGCTCCATGCAGGGAGCCCAAAATGGAACTCAATCCCGGGACTCCAGGATCACTTTTTGAGGGAAGGGAAAGGCTCAACCGCTGAGCCACCCAGGCGTCCTGAGGGAGAGGGTCTTAAGCAGACTGTGTGTTGAGTGTGGAGCCTGATGTGGGGCTCGATCTCTGGACACTGAGATCATGACCTGAGCCAAAATCAAGAATCAGATACTTAACCAACTGAGCCACCCAGGTGCCCTGAACTTATATCCTTTTATTGAAGTTTAACATCATAAACACATACCAACACGTATTCCTTTCCCTCTCTTTTTAAAAAATTATGAAATATTTCAGATAGATAAATAGGTACAGAGATCAATGTCACAAACATGCAGCCAGCCAGGCACCCTGAGCACATAAAGTAAAAATTACAAAGGTGGTAGAGACCCCCTGCCATCTCTCCTTCATTCTAACTACCCACTATTTTGCCTCCAAAGGCAAATTCTACTTCAGAATCCATCCTGATTTTGGTGTTTCTAACTATCTTGTAACATCACCATGTTCTTACTGCACCTGCACACATCACTTATGAAAGTATGGTATTATTTTGCATGTTTTAAAATTTATATAAATAATATTGTACTTCAGGAATCTTGCAACTTGCTTTTAATTCTATTCATACAGTACTTTTTTGAATTCTACTTACTCCAACATTAAATTTCTCCCAATCTTCCCCCAATTAAAAAATAAAAAACTCGGGATCCCTGGGTGGCGCAGCGGTTTGGCGCCTGCCTTTGGCCCAGGGCGCGATCCTGGAGACCCGGGATCGAATCCCACGTCGGGCTCCCAGTGCATGGAGCCTGCTTCTCCCTCTGCCTATGTCTTTGCGCCTCTCTCTCTCTCTGTGTGTGTGTGTGACTATCATAAATAAATAAAAATTAAAAAAAAAAAATAAAAATAAAAAAATAAAAAACTCTTAGTCCTTACCACCTCATTTTATAAGCCTTTAAGCAGTAATGAAATAAAAAGTAACAGAAAAAAAAGTAACAAAATAACAGAACCAACAGACACCTGAGCCTAAACCAAACTCCAAATTGTATTGTTCCAAACGGCCATTTAACTAAAAGTCACTATTTATTGTATTCACTGCATTACCCAGATTCTAAAACATCACCAATTTATAGAGAGATTTAAAAACCAAAATAAAACTGTATACTGGGGATTTCACCATATGAAAAACATGTCTTAGATTCAATGAAATGGTTCAAATTGAAGTAGTTTAAACTAGTCTTATGAATTGTTTAAAAAAACAAAACCTCAGATCATAAACGTTTTCACCAGATCTATCTATATACATACATACATATATATATATATATATATATATATATATATATATATATATATATATATATAGTTCATTAGTATAATGAACTATTGAACCACATGGAAATGAGAAAGGGCACATTAAAAAGCCACATATACAAAAATCTTGTGGTTAATGGTCTATGAGTAACAGTTAAATTCTCCACTTACTGAACATATTTTTTAAAGAGAAATTTAATAAAGAAATTGGCTCAGTTGGTTAATCTACCTTTGGTTCAGGTCATGATACCAGGGTCCTGTGATCAAGCCCCACATTGGGCTCCCTGCTAAGCAAGGGAGCCCTCCTTCTCCCTCTCCCTCTGCCCTGTTCATGTGCTCTCATGCTCACTCTCTCAAATAGAATCTTAAAAAAAAGAAAAGAAAAAAATATTTGAAAATATGCATTATATACAAGGTGTAGGGACAGAAAAAATTACATATATGATGCAACCAAGACGACTGCAGGCTAACATGCACCCCAATGTTTATAGCAGCAATGTCCAAAATTGTCAAAATATTAAGAGCCCAGATGTTCATCAACTGATGAATGGATAAAGATGTGGTACATATATACAAAATGGAGTACTATTTAGGATCCAAAAGAATGAAATCTTACATTTGCAATGACATGGATAAAACTAGAGCGAATTGGGGATCCCTGGGTGGCTCGCCGGTTTAGCGCCTGCCTTTGGCACAGGGGCGTGATCCTGGAGACACGGGATCGAGTCCCACGTCGGGCTCCCGGCATGGAGCCTGCCTCTCCCTCCTCCTGTGTCTCTGCCCCCCTCTCTCTCTCTCTCTCTCTCTCTCTCTCTCTCTCTCACTATCATAAATAAATTAATTTAAAAAAAAAAAAAAAGAACTAGAGCGTATTGGGCAGCCCAGGTGGCTCAGCGGTTTAGCGCCTGCCTTCAGCCCAGGGCGTGATCCTGGAGACACAGGATCGAGTCCCACGTCGGGCTCCCGGCATGGAGCCTGCTTCTCCCTCTGCCTGTGTCTCTGCCTCTGTGTGTGTGTGTGTGTCTCATGAATAAATAAATAAAATGTGTAAAAAAAAAAAAAACTAGAGCATATTATGCTATGCAAAATAAGTCCAGAGAAAGAAAATTATCATATCATCTCATTCATATGTGGAATTTAAGAAACAAAACAGATGAACATAAGGAAGGAAAAATAAAATAAGAGGAAAACAGAGAGGGAGACAAACCATAAGAGACTTTTAACTATAGGGAACAAACTGGGCATTGTTGGAGGGGAGGAGGGAGAGGGGATGGGGTAGGGTAACTGGGTGATGGGCATTAAGGAGGGCACATGATGTAATGAGCACTGGGTATGATATGCAACTGATGACTCACTCAATTCTACCTATGAAACTAATAATATATGTTAATTAAATTGAATTTAAGTAAAAAAAATTTTTAAAGATTTTATTTATTTATTCATGAGAGACAGAGAGAGAGAGAGGCAGAGTGAGAAGCAGGCTCCATGCAGGGAGCCTAACGTGGGACTCAATCCCATGTCTCCAGGATCACGCCCTGGACTGAAGGCAGGCGCTAAACCGCTGAGCCACCTGGGCTGCCCTAAATAAAAATTTTTTAAAAAGAAGATTGCAGGCTAATAGGGGAGACAAAACATAAGAAGTAGTAATTATGATATAAAGTAAAAGTGGTAAATGTCTTAAGAGCAGTTCAGAGAACATGCCATGAAGGGAAGATCAATGGCAACCCAAAGGAAAATAAGCCA